CACCCATTTCAGTTTCACGACCGATTTGCTTCTTTTTCTTTACAATTTTTTAAATATTGTTTTGCATGTTATTATTTACAGTGAAACAAAAAAAATCACATGATGTTTGTGATTTCTGAAAACAAAAAATATATCTCATTTCTAGTCAATCACGTCCATTGTAACGCTTGAAGAAATCAATACATCTTTCGAATTCTTGGTGGACCGACTCATTATTGTATACACTTGTCGTGCGATATATGTCGGTTTTCTGTCGTCGATATTGTCAATGTGTAATATATAACACGTACAAAAATTTGTTTCAAAATCATGTATAATCATACATACAACCATAGAGAATTTTTTCGACCAAAAAAAAAACCATAGAGAATTTTAAACATTAAACTTTAAATTTCGGTTTAGGAAGTATAATATTCAAATTAAAAATTGATTTAAGTATAGTCGATTGGTGTTGCTTTTATTTTATTTTGAACTTTGTTTTGTATAGAAACATCTCTTTTGATTCGGTACGTTAAGTTTTGACTTTTGATGTATTGGAAATAAAAACGTAAAATCATGTTAACCAAATTAAAGTTTGATAAATTTTTGTTGGTTAATATAAATGGTTCTCAAACGTAAAGAGTGTTACAAAGAAACGAAATCTTGATCTTAGATAGAGTTGGTACCTCCAACGAGCCGATGGAGGAATCCAGACAACGGAGTGTTTATGGTGATCAAAGGCTCGAATCGCATCGTTAAATGTTCGAGCGGACAAGACATGGTCGTGTGTTTTAAGTGCCTCTNTAGCTGCTTCCGNTGAAGATATAACCACTGCGGTTAACCTTCCAAGCTTCAAACTCATTATAGATCGATCAGCCTGCCAAATTTGTATGAACCGACGACCCCAACCAATACACATTTAGTTGCCTATATGTGCATCTCAGTACAATCTCGAGTTATCGACCAAATCAAAACACAAAATGTAAAATGGAAAAGGTTTATATTAATTTTATTATTGTGATTTTGTTGTGCATTTAAGTTTCTATTGATCAATTCTGTGGGATTGGTTAAATTGCTATAATTATTAGTGTTGCTNATTGCTACTGGTTAAACTGCTATAATTANTATTATTATGAGGAGATTACTGTTTATCTGTTGATCAGATTAATTACTATTTGGCAGCTTAAAGATGTTTCTTTAGCTAGTGTTAACTTTACTTGTTCCGTTGTTAGGTTAAGCTGCTAAACCTGGTTGTGCCAATGTATCTCTCTTGATGAGAAATGGAGTTGATAGGAAACTCTTAAGCTCACTTAGTAGAGAAGATCCCAACTCTAGTAATTTACTAGTATAATATTGTCTGCTTTTGAATAAGTGGTCAAGTCGACAAAGATTTGTCTTTTTGATCAAAACTACGATTTCAATGAATTTTGAAATTAATATATATGAACTAAAAGATGTTGGACTTTATCAAACAAAATAGGTGGAACTGAAAAGACATAATCGTGATAATATGCAATTTTTAATGAAATAAGTGGTTATAAGCACAAAAGTACTTACGATAAATAAAAAGACAACCATATTAACGGTGATGAACGAAAATATACATACAAAGAAATTATGGGGAAAAACGCAATCGTATAATAAATAGACACAATCTTAAAGTACATAAGAAAAAAGTATGATGAACAAACGCAACAATCATTTTGTAGGATTGCTATATTATTAATAGATATAGATGGCAGCATATTAAGACGATATTATAGGTTTCCTGATGGGTACGAGTGACGTACGACATAGAGAGGTACTTCCCGTTCAATCTGTTTTTTCTTTTGCAATATTTAGTGCATACAAAATATAATACTACAAAAGACCACTTCCATCATGGTTCTTAAAAAGATTTCTATAAATATATTAAAAAATAAATAGTAATATAATATTGTATGAGTTTCTTAAAATTTTTTAAACAAAATATTTCAAAACCTTATTTTTCCACTTTTTAGAACCTCATA